AGACTCGCCAACTATCACTTTGATGAAGCTGGTCCGCATCTGTGGGTTCATCGCCATTTTTCTAGTCCAGCTCGTCGGTCCTCCTCTCCTTGTCGCAGCCGTCTTCACAGGGTGGGGAACCGATTTAAACGGGGACCACAGTGAGAACTATATCCACTGGCGCGATTGGGAGCCATCACTGATCGATTTCGACTCGATTGGGACGACCAAGTTGCTGAGCAGCCTTTTTCTGTTCGTTTTCCAGCTCAACGGTCTGTACGTTCTTATCGAGGAGAAGCAGTCGTGGATGAAGATCTACAAGACGTTCCGGTACCTGAAGCACAACACGCCGAACATGGATGTGAGGGGGGGCGGCTTCCTGATCGCGGGAGCTCTGACCAACCAATGGGTTGTCATTATGACGTCCATCTTGGGATGCAATTCCATGGGTATTGAATTCAGAATCATCGGCGCTAGCGGATCCGTCGGAAACTGAACTGGCGCACAATCCCGCTTAACCCAGCTTAATCCCCCGTTTACTCGAGCCCAGTTCGGCTTAGTGGCCCCTTAATTGGGTTTACATATTATTAGGCACTCGATTGTTTTTTTACGAAGACCTTATGGAAGTTGCCTCCTGATCCATCGCCGCCTTCACGGTCCTCGGCTCCAGCTTCAGCCCGCGGGATTTGCTGTTCGATGCGTTGGGCCTCCTCTTCCTCTACAATTTTGACGACGTCAACTCGTCGCTCGGCTTCGTGACCGAGGACGACTGGGACGGCGTGCGGTTGGGTTGGATCTACAGGGAAATGGTGGCCGCGAATTATCACCCGGCAGACGCCGAGGCGACGTCGCAAAAGTTTGACCCAGTGGTGTCAACTTGGCGCGGCTATATTATCGCCAGGGTGTACGATTGCGTGGCAGCGTTCTTGGTAGTTGCTGCCATTGCGACGCCAGTCTTGAGCTTTATCACGCCGTTTGTGCAGCTCATGCCAGAGGACTGGGAGTGAGGCCACCCCTGGCGTCAGGGGAGGCCCAGGCATCTCCGCTCTGCCCCCTAAGGGTTGGAGGGTATGTAATTCTTGACGCTTCGCGTACCCCCGCCAGTCCGCCGCAGCGCGTAACACAGAATTCCCTGGCATTTTGCTCTG